TCTTCCGATTAGTGCAAAGCTATGAATAACCTCAACTTTTCACTGTTTTCAGTTTTCTTTTTGCATAACAGTTTCAGTTCATTTGGTTTTCTTATATTAAACAATGTAGGTCAGGGACTTTCCATTTTGAAATTTTGCTATGTAGGCTCTAAAGTTGTGCTGATACAAGACCATGTCAGTCCTGCAGAGATCGTGCCGGCATTCTAAGCACAAGTTTTTTCCCAAATCACATCCTTATGGTTGTTGTAGGTTGTAGAACAATGCAATACAGAAAATTAACTAAATAAGACTTTGAGAGTATGCCACTATGTAATCTTTTTTAAATTGAAGATTTCATGTAACATCCTGGAACCTCAGTAGTATGCACGTTTCTAAAATACTTAGTGATTTTTTTTTTTTTTTTGCAGTCATTTAGTCAAATCTCTCACTGTTCACTTCCAGGTGATTGGGATAGTTATAATCCGTCTTCGTCAAATGTAATATATGAAGAACAGTCACCATTATCTTCATCTTCACATTCTGCTTCCCCATCTGAAGTGTGTTATTTACCAGTACCAGGAGAAGCTTTAATGAGAGTTCAGCTGTCTGAGAAACTGGAACAAGCAAAGAACACTGTGCCTGAAAAGATAAGCACTTTAACTGAAAACCGGTTTGAGATGAAGCCTCTGTCTTCTCCCCAGAGAACAAAGACCAGATGGGAATGTCCCTCCAGCCCTGGGTTTGAAATCACAAAAGGTAGTTTGGAATTAGGGACCAGAAGAGACAGATCTGCAAGTCCAGAAAAGTTAGTGGCTGCTGAGGGACACCTTCACACAGGATTCCACAGCCCCAAAAAAGGGGATCCTGAAAAAAACTACGGCAATCTCTCACATAAATCTGACAGTTCCAGAAAGAGTGAGAGTAAACCCACAGAAATAGGGATGAACAATAATAAGAAAAAAGATTATTCCAGTGGAAATCAAGGAAGGTCTGCCAGTCCCCAAAAGCATCTCAGTAAGCAAGGAAACGTAGAAACAGTAGGCAGGTTACAGGAATATCAAGATAGAACAACTGATGGTGATAAGATGACTGTTGAGCAATTGAAAGGTGGAAATGGTAAAACAGGAGTCACCAGGAAAGACACGATGCAGAAAACTTCTAGAAAGACAGAAGGGTGGTCTCCAGAGCGACAACATGCAGCATTTTATGAGAATCATCTTCCATTCAGCGACTCCAGGAGAAATACATCTGAAGACGAAAAAATAAAGTCGTCAAACTCTGGAGAGCCAAGTTGCAGCAGATTCAAAACTTCCAGTCTTTCCAATATTCCACTGCTTTCCATGGAGAAACAAAGAAGGCTAGAAACACAGGAAACTGTTACACTGAACAGACAACATAGAGAGAGACACGTGGAGCTGCCCGATGAAACCAAAGATGATGGAATTTCCAAATCTGAGAATAGTTCTCCAGTCAAGAAAACACCGATAACTCCTGGACCTTGGAGGGTACCAAGTGCATGTAAAGTCACCCAAACGGCAGGTGTGGCTGAAAAACGGGTTTGACTGACACTTTTTTTTAGAACATGTTTTAATCAAGTTTCTAATAATGGTCATTTAAAAGCATTGGTTTTTTTCACGAAGTTGTTGTTTTTTTCAGAAACTGGTTAGAGAGTAGAAAGTATTTGATTCGTTCTTAAATTATCTGAGCTGCATGAAGGACCTTTTGGATTGCTTAAATTAAACTCTTCCATAAGCTGCTGTCCCCTTGTCCTTTTGAAGGCGGTGTTCTGCTGCTCTCAACGTTGCACTGCTACGGCTTTCTCAGATAGTATTGTGAGTTTCTGAACAAAATTATTTAATGCCTATATTGCCAATGTGATCATGACTCACTTCTTGTTCTTGTGCCAAGTTATCTACTGTATCCAGTCAATCTAATCCTTCTCATATGTATTCCAGTCGCAGGAAGGGCAAGGTTTTGTTTGAAATGGGTATTTTCTCAAGAGCATGTTGCATGTTTACATAAGGAAATACACATGTTCTTACTGGTTCAGTAAGAAGATGGGTGGGTTGGTTCTATCAATTCTAGGGCAGCAAATGAGCCACTGATGCTGTTCAATTGATGTTTTTTCTTAAATTTTTATACCTAATACAAAATCATGTAGATAAAAATTATATTTGACATAATCAAATGTTTTGTAATTTTGCTTTTTATGAACAAAGCAAAATTGCTTTATTTTCTTGATTCATAAGGATGCTTATAACAACTGCTGGCAAACATCTGTCTGAAAAGAGAAAATTCTGGGTTCTGTTAAATAACATAATTCCTTTGGTTTCACTTGTGGCACTGTGTCATCCTTAGCATTCTTTGTAAACATAAGCAATCAGTGTACATTTATTTTCAGTCTCATTGTGGTGCTGTATACTGAACTCCCATCTTTAATTATTTAATGCTAGTTAGGAACCGGATTTTTTCCCTCTGTAAAGATAACAGCTGACCTTTAGGACAGAACCAACTGCCATAGTCGCTTCTTAAATGAAGTTCTTGCCTGTGTATATTAGAAGTCTCCCATATGCTGAATGTGTGGTCTGTTCTAAGAGTGCTAAATAGGATTATATACAGGGTACATGAGACTTAATATCTATTGTTTGGGCTATAAGACATATTTTAAAAAGAGGAATCTACTGACACATCAGTCCTACAGCTATAAGAATAGCAGACTGCATAAATTGAAGGGTTTTATTTTCTCATAGTTTTAGTGAAGATTTCCTGACATGTTAGGTTTTTAATGACTGCAGAAAAGTGGTAAAAGGAGCCCATTGGTCCAGTTTTGCAGAAGGAGAAAGAAGTGTAAAAGGTCAAGCTTTACTTATGTTAAAATTCAAACTAACACCATTTGCTATTTGAAAGTGAATGAGTTTGGCTTGTTGAATACCTTGTTTGGCTTTGAAACATTTAATGTTTTTAAAGCTTAATGAAGCACAGTGAATCAGTTCTGAGTTGAATTCTTTAGAAGTACAGATGACTACTCAAACAGCTTTTTAAACAAAGACTTTGAAAATTTAATAGGCTTTAAAGCAGATCTGAACTGTGCTCTGCTGCTTGACGTTGGACGATCCATTGAGATTTGCTGTGTAGCACAATACGTACAAATACTCCGTGTTGTGGAGTATGACTGTGAAAATACTTAATACTTTGAAGTAGCCTATGTAGATATTAACCATGTATTCTTAACAGGAGATTCTGTTTTATGTTGAGTTGTATGCACTTGCCCTAATCACCGAGTACAGTAACAAATTCAGACGTTTAATACAAAGATGCATTAGCACCACTGAAATTATTTTCCTGTCATCAACTACTCCTATATTTTTTCTATATGTTAATGTGACCTGATTTAGTGTCCTACCTGTGTGTGATTTCTCCTTCCATAGAACTTATATCTGTACTTACTGTATCGGATGACTTAGCAATGTGGCCTTGGAATGCTAAGCAATGTATGGATGTACTAGGTGTAAATGTTTATATATTGTACAGCACCTTTATACATACTTCTGAGGTTCTGACTAGAGAGAGACCTGTAAATCGCTCATTATTTTTTATATAGATATTAAAAAGAAACTCCAGTTCATGGCCTGTATAAAATAGATTCTTTGTTGACTTTCAGTGGTGTGATACTTTAAACAGCTAAATCTATGACCCAGGTTTTACCCACAAACATAATAGTCTTCTGGAAAACAAATGCAATTTATTATTGGAAGTTTCCTTGACTCCCTGTTCAAATAATAAATGTTCACCAAAGGTATTATAAAAATCATCAAGTCATGTAGAAACAGTTGTTAATGATGAAATACTTGTACTGTAGGTTTATTTGTACATTTTGATATATAAAATTGTCATCTCCTTTTACATCTTACAACTTTTCCTTGTACAGAAAATAGCTGTAAACAATTTACTACCAAAAATTCATATGCCATCTTACCCCTTATGTGAAAGAATGAAGTGATGAAAAGTTCCTCAGTTTTTGCTTTTTTCATTACTAATATAATAGAAGATACTAGAGTCAGTTAAGGAAAATGTAAGTTCAACATGTCTTTAAAACATTTTGTTTCTCTCCTATGCCCTTTCTAAACATTAATCTACTTTTGGGTGAGGAAGTCTTTGCCACGTCTCTTGCGCTGAACTGATTCTCACAACAGATTTCTTCCTCAGGTTTGCAGCATAAGGCACTATTGCAGCACAGAGCTGCAACAGCCTCTCAGAGCGCGGAGCAAGGCTGGTTGTCAGAAAAAGACACGCCAGGATGCCCTTGGGAGAGAGCCCGGGCTAAGCATAACTGAGGTGTTACAGGGAACGAACACAGCAAAATACTCTAGAGCTGATAAATGCTTTACTTGTAGTTTGTGTTGCAGAAGACCCAACATAAGCCAACCAGCATGAATCTGTTATATTGCTTAACTGTCAACATGGAGGCAGGATTCATCTTGTGCGAACCGAATTTCAGTGCATCCTGCAGTAGTTCAAGCCTCAAGCACACTGAGCTTGTAAGAAAAGAAATACTCTTCAGCACATTCAGATAAACACATCTAAGTATTACCAGTCTGAGCAGAGCTCTGAAGAAGGATGCAGAAATTGGAAAATCTCAGTGTAGCTCCAGAGCTCTCTGAAAAAGATGATGCTAACTGAAACAGGAGGCCTGATTCTTCACTTGTCGCACACACAGGATTCAGATTTTACAGAAACAAGGCACCTGTAGCAATCATTGGTGTCCCTCCAGTAGGAGCTCTCACATGGCTTTTAGTGTTTTATGCCCCGTGCTGTGTGCACACAGCTCCTGCTATTTCCTTCTAGTATTTGGTGCCATTAATCCTGTTTTGCTGTGTGTCCATGCTATGGGATGACTTTGCTAATTAGACCAGTTTATTCTGTATGTTATAGAGCAGTAAAGCAGAGGGAGAACTTCTGATACGTACACTGAGGATCTGTTAAAAAATTGTAATTGCAGATTTCCGTAGTTTGAGAGCACCTCTGCTTTTTGCCCGAGGTATTGGTTATCTTCTCTGGTCTGTCTGTCTGGTGGAGAGGGCCGAGTGCTGATGTTTGGTCAGTTCACGGTTTAATTTTCCATAACTGAAAAGAGATACAGAGAGTGAGCTCTGGTCTGAAAGCCATAGGTCTGAATGCTTTTCATCTACAGGTAAAACTCAGTCTCCTTTGCCCATCCTGCGTTGAATGTTCCGCTCAGCGAGCTCCGAGTTAAGTGTGAGCCACAGGGGGACCGTGTCTTCTTTCTAAAGGGAAAGAACCCGGGATTCTGACTAATGGCTTTAAGCAGGCACCGAAGACCTGAACGGGGCTGAAATTTGTCAGCCCTGTCCTCCCCCCGCCCCAGACTGGCTCAGGGAGATGGAGATTCATTCTGCAAGGGCTGTTCTCTGGATTATCATTAGAGGGAGCCTGATTCAAAGCCAGGACCTTTCTGCTTGGGTGGGAGGAACTTGGCAATGGTACAAAAGTGACCCCTAGGAGATGTTTCCTGTTAGTTTGTATGGGAGTTATACTTACTCTGATATTGAATCCTAGAAGATCACTTATAACACCTGAGACAGCAGAAAGTATAACAACACGTGTTATATTGTATATTAATGGGTTCATGGTCAGTCCATACAGCCTAAATGGAGTATCTAATTCCTGCAGTGAAAGGGGAAGAAAAGTCCATTAGCGTTAGTCCATACCAGAAGGAATTAATCTTCTGACTTTT